CTGCCCCCGTCGGATGTTATGCGATCGGGTACTCCGTAACATTGGAACCACGTCTGGAGGGCTCCTAAGACTGCGTCTGCTGACCGCTCCTGAACCAGGTACGCCATTGCCGCTTTGCTAAAGAGGTCTATGAGCGTGACCCACTTATACCCTCTCCATGTGAACGTATCCACTTGCAAGTCGCTTAGTGGTGCATCGACCGTGGGTGTCTCCTCTTGCATCGTTCTTGGGGGTGCCGATCGTACTTTGTGCTCGCGCACACCCTGCAGGACCCTATGAGCTCTGCGATCGTTTTCTTCATCCCCCACCAAAAATATTTCCGACGCAACGCTTGAAACGTCTCCTGCGCCCCACGGTGGTTGGTCTTGCCCTGGTGGTAAGCAAGTGTTATGTCCTTCTGCTGCTCTTCATCCCGCACTGTATCCACCATCAGTTTGCAACGAATGAACGTCCTATCCATCCCTAATCGCTCATCCCGCCATAGCCTCTTTATCTTCTCCCAAATCGTTTCATTTCCCACATATAAGTGGTGAATTTTCCTTGCTTTCGACGCGTCTTTGAGAGCTCTGCAGATCTGGTCCACGCTGGCCCCTGGTTGTGACCAAATGGTTGTTATTCGGCTGTTGCCGTACTTACTATATAGTATCTTCATCAGACCCGACGTCCTGGTCTTCCAGATGATCTGGCGGTTCTTATCGTTGACGATTTCCTCCCGTTCTTCCATGTCCACTGGCCTCTCTTCCGCTGGACTTTCTTCTTGTTGGGTATCAACTCCATCCACATTTTCTTCCACCACTTGTACCCCCTCTCCCTCTGGCGTCCAGTCCCTCAGGAATTGTCTCACGCCTCCCGATGATTCTGCTGTATCCTCCTCTATGGCATTTATAGTTAGCGCTCTCGATAGCCAATCCGCCACCACATTCTCTCTTCCGGGCTTGTACACAATGTCCATGTTGTACTGGTTAAGAATCTCCTTCCAGCGTGTGACTCTAGCCGAAGATTCCTTTAGCTTGCCTACCCATTGTAGGGGTCTATGGTCCGTCTGCACGCGGAATTTCCTCCCAAAAACATATGGTCTAAAATGGTCGATAGCCCATACGATCGCTAACAGTTCTCTCTCCAGCGCACTGTATCGCGACTCTGCCTCCGTAAGTCGCCTGCTGACATATGCTACGGGACGATCCCCCCCATTTCCATCCTGGGATAACACAGCCCCCAACGCGTATTCGCTAGCGTCCGTTGTGTTCGTAAACACTTTCGTAAAATCCGGAAATGCTAATACTGGCTCCTCTTGCAGCCTCGCCATGCATTTCCGAATGTTGTCTTCCATTATGGGGGTTACTATCACCTTGCTGCCTTTCTTTAATAAATTGTTGAGGGGTACGAGGTATTCCGCCATTTCGGGCACAAATCGTCGATAATAATTAAGGGTTCCTAACAATCTGCGGATCCCTTTTACATCCCGAGGTATTGCCATCTTCTTAATCGCCTCCACTTTCCGCGCGTCAGGTTTTACTCCTTCACTCGATATCGTGTGTCCTAAAAAATTTATGTGGTCCTGCCCTAACAAACATTTCTCGCAGGACAGTTTCAGCCCAAATTGTCTGACTCTCTCAAATACCCTACGTAGATGCTCTACGTGTTCCGCCTCGTTTTTACTAAATACCAACAGGTCGTCCATGTAAATTTGGCACATCCCTTCGTCAATTCCCCTTAGGAACTCGTCCATTAGCCGCTGGAATGTTATAGGGGCATTCTTGAGACCAAATGGCATTCTCGTAAATTCGTAATGCCCCCTCTCGAACGTGAATGCTGTCTTCAATTGATCTTCCGGAAGCATCCTAATCTGATGATATCCCGCTTTCAGGTCAAGAGTACTGAATACCGTTGCCCCGCTTAACCGATCTAAAATGTCCTCAAACTTCGGGATTGGGTATTTTTCATCCACAGTATTCTCATTAAGTTTGCGGTAATCGATTACCACGCGGTATTTCTCCTTATCCTCTCCGGGCGCGCTTTTCTTCTTAACTGCCCATAGCGGGCTATTATATGGCGACGTGCTATCGACAATTATCCCCTGCTTCTTTAGACTCTCCAACTCTTCCCTAATGTATTGGCGAAGTGCCCGCGGATACCTCCTCTCTTTCACGTAGCTCACCTTTTCGCGCTTCAGCGGGATCTCGTGCACCGTTTTGCCCGTCACCCCCAACGTATCTCCCTCCTTGAAAAAGATGTCTTCGAATTCCCTTCTCACGACTACTCTCCAATCCTCCGCCCGACTTATAGCTCCCACACGTGCTCTCCGGTCCTCATGCCCCTCTATTGCCATCGTACTCGTATACCTGATTCTCCCCATCCTTATTTTCCACTCCTCCCTTCTATATGCGATTCGCACGCCCACCTTCCCCAACATGTCACATCCTATAATTACCTGGTATTCCCGCGGCATTTCTCCCATTACATGCACCGTAAGTTTACCTCCCTTGGCTGCCCACCTTCTCAAACCTATCTCCACTTCTCCTTCTACTCCACACGGGCCACCCAGGGTGATTAACTTACAATTACATACCTTGACTTGGAGTGTCCTCTCTCCATCGTACAGCTTCTCCAACACTCCCCGTGTCATGATGGTATTGGAACTCCCGGTATCTACCAGGCATCGCACTCCTCCCACCTCTATTATAGGTAACCAGCAGCTTTTACCTCTGATGTTACAACTCACTAGCGTGCGGTCACCCCTCGCCTGACACTCTCCTCAGATCCTCTCCACGGTTTGTCGGCTTCCACTCCTTCCGCTGCTTCTTCCTCGACTCCTCTCGTTCTCCCGGCCTACTGGGTCCTCTATCTCTTCTTCTGTCTCCGTGGCCAAGGATTCCTCCGACGAGTCTCTTGATGACTCACTCCTCCTTGCGTGTATCCTTCTTCTCCTCACTTCCTGGGCATTTATCTCCATCGGCTCAACCCTCTGTGAGCCTCTTCTGGAATAGATGTACGGACATTGCCTCGCAATGTGTCCCTCAGTCCCGCACTCAAAACATTTCGTGCGGGGACACTGTGCCACCAGGTGTCCGCTCTTTCCACAACCGTGGCATTTCCTGTCCTCTCTCCGTTGGCTACCTCTTGCTCTACCTTGTCCTGGTCTTCGTTCGGCTCCGGTGGTCTTTTCTCTCCCGTTGTGTGCGGGCTCTCTCCTTCTCCAGGTCGTTGGTGAACTTCTAGGTCTCCTATAGATCACTCTGTTCCATCCTGGTTCCTCCCCCTCTAACCGGGCTTCTTCATCTCGAGCACTGGAATCTACCATTTCTTGGGCGCATTCAATAAACGAACGTTCCCGGGGTAAGCCATATTTCTTCCCAGTTTCTTTCGCCAATTGCACCTTCAGTATGGTGGACAAAAAGGCCATCTTCGCTTCGACCTCCGGAGCTCCAGCTGTCTCCCGCATCTTCTCGGTGATCCGGTTGTAGTGAGCTACTAGTGTTGCCGCATACTGTCCGTTGGACTGCCGTGAAGACTTCACCTCGCGGAACATCTGATAGATGTCTTCTTCTGTAGTCCATCTGCCCCCGCCGTAGGCTTTCTTCAGTCTCTCCTTGACCGTTTCCCACGGCGTCTCTTCATCTGCCTGGATGTGGTTCAGGATACTCCGTTTTACCCTGCACACAAGGGCCGCCTTAAGGGCCCGCATCCCCAGCGTTGACGAGGTTCTCATCAATCTTTGCATTGATTCTAGCCACAAGTCGATCTCCACCCTTTAAAAAATGATTGAGCTCACCTATTTCTCCAGTGAAGCGCTCGAGATCGGATATAGCCTCCCTGAGGTCCTGTGAAGTGGCTACCCGGATTTTCATCCATTCTATCGCATTCGCATGCGCCGCAGCAAAGTTTTCCTGCGGTAATGGAGGGATCTCTGGCACATTCATGGGAGCCGGCTGCCCTAAGGCAAATTCAGGCATGCTCGTAACGGTTCTCCTCTGGTTAAAAAAAAACGTACCTCTGCACTCTCACCTTCCCGGGTTTCGGCACCAGTTAAACGTTGCGGGCTTTAAACACTTAAAAAAAAGAGTAAAGGTTCAACAAATAACACGCATGAAGTCAGAAACAAGACTGCTTTATTCCTCCTTATAATCCTCTATATATACATTCTAAGTTGTTTACATAAATGCTTTTGGTATTAAAGCTAATACTGTCCCGCTCCGTACCTTAACTTATATATATATATATATATATATATATATATATATATATATATATATATATATATATAATAATATATATATAATAATATATATATATATATATATATATATATATATATATATATATATATATAATATATATAATATATATATATATATAATATATATATATATATATATATATATTTATATATATATATATATATATATATATATATATATATATATATATATATATATATATATAATTATATATACAGAAATAAGGAAGGTAAATTGAGGAATTCAAATCAGATAAGATTTTAAAACAGTTTAAAAATGAGTTAGGGAGCGAGGTAGCGCAGTAGGGTAGGTAAGCACTGACTTCCAAAGCTCAGGATTCAGGGTTTAAATCTGGCTAATAACGAGTCATTTTTCATTAGCTCTGGATTGACAGCCCATGACACAACTACCCTCTTTGAAGTGGGTACTCTTAATTAAATAATTAATTAAGGGGAAAACCAGGGATTTGAGCATGATCACATTCCTGCACAATCATAAAACAGTACTTCATCAAGTTTTACCCACCTTCATATGAATTAATATTCACCTCCTTCCCATCAGTCTTAGTTTTTTTTAAATCATATTGTTTAAGGTAGAAAAAATGGTTTTTGGAACTTAAATATCAATGCCTTTATTATAATGAACATGTCATTAGGGCAGTTTCATTATCTTTGTTGTAGAGAACATTACCTCAACTAAAAAATGTTGGGAAAAAATTAAAACAAAAAGGAAAAAGCTAAAGCAGCTGAAAAAAAACAGAGAATGGTATCAGGAGGAGCTTACAAACCCCCCTCACAAGAAAATGTGTTTCTTGATCAAGTGACACAATTCACTGATATAGAAATATTAACGGGAGTTGATAGTGACACCGTAGCACAGGCCAAGGCAGGGAATGACCCTTCTTACGTTCTGGATGGGAGTCAGGTATTTTGAAATATTTAATCTAATTAAATATTTCTGACTATGATTTGTCATAAAAATGAGGTGTATTTTCAATACACAGGTAAATGGATTGAAGTTTTAAATGTGGACCATCCAATACCTGGACCATGGGGTGTCCAACAAGAGACGTCGGGTATTTTAAAATCAGTTTAAAGTGTTAAGTACTGTTTCACTGTAACATATAATTAATTTAATTTAATGAGGAATAAGCAGTATAAGAATGAAGAAGATATTGGCCAGTGTTATAATGTAGAAGATTTTACAGATATTACATATACATTAAAATAATAAAAATAAATTTATAATGTCTGGGCAATACATGACAAAAGAAAAATAACAAATTTTGAGTAATAAGTTAATAAAGAGTCAATTTTTCTAATCAAAATTGTTCCCCTTCTAGGCATGGCTGAAGCAACTCAAGGACCACTTGGTGTCCATCAAAAGATTTCAAGTATTCTATGATCAGTTGATGAAACATGTTATGGGCTGTTTCTCTGTAATGATTATTTAATTTTATTTTAGATACAATGAAGAGGAGACCAATGAGTCACCAAGATACTATCCACCTCGAGTTGCAGGCTAGGTTAAGGCACCAAGCCATATTGACTAAGCATGAGCAAGAGTTACATGCTGTAAGGATGGAAACTGCCCAAGAAGAATTAAAGAGGGCACAGTTAGAAACTGAATTCTTTAAAAAAAAAAATGGAAATGGAAACTGAATTTCTTAAAGAAAAAAAGGATTTGGAAATAGAATTTAAAAAAAATAATAAATCAAAGTTTTTATTTTTATAAAGTATTTATATTTTCATTTTTTTAAATTCAATTTTTTTTTTTTTAAACTGAAGTGTGCTTCAATATATGATTCCCAGATAGCTTTCCCTCTGTTTGTTTGTGGATGGGGTACTTCATTTATGATGGGAGCTATTTCCTAGGCCTTCATTCTCTAATTCAAATATATTTTCAATCCTTCCAATATTGTGAAGAATTGCGCAAGCAGCGATATACGTTTGTATATTTTCTATTTTATCGATTTTCTACTTAAACATGGGAGATGTTTTTTTTTCTATTCCAAAAATGTTCTCTACTCTAACCCTTGTTTTTTTGGGGGGAGATGTTATGTCTCTTTTCAGGAATAGACGGGTAGAGCGAGCAATAGGCTAAATAAATATGAGGTTTGAGGATACCCTGAATCACCTAGAAAAAAAATCTTTTAAAGTGACTTGCTCTAGTTGTAATTTAAGTGCACTTCGGTTATTATGGGCTGATCCAGGCCAGCGGATAACTATATCAAATATTTCATAGGTCCTCCCACAACCTGAACAAGATATCTATCCTTTCTATTTCAGAACACCTCAGCATTCCTCCAGGACTCATTATTGGTATAATCCATACATTCAATGACATTCAAGAATCCTGCTTTTTTGCCGTGCTACTGTAGCGCTGTGCAAACACGCTAGCCGCCCACTATACGAGAACCCTATTTGATAGAATGTATCTTTCACTTGTTTCACCCTATGTGTTACATTTATAGAAAAAGTAGATACTTCACCCTACTCTACCAGGAATTTTATGAAATTAAATTTGGATCCCTCCCCACAAAATCCATCTCAAAAAAAGATTCTCAAATTTTAACTACGCACCCATCAACGATGGGTACATTAGCTAGTATTAAATAAAAGCTTTTGTTGTTTTTACATTTGAAATCAACAAAAAAACACTTATTAACAATATTTTAATATCATTCTCTATAAATAAAATGAAAGTTGAGAAATAGACAATTCAAAGATAAGCAATTATTTGTACAGGTTGTCTTCAAAAATAAATTATTGTCCTAAATAGAACATAAAAAATAATATTTATGAGACCAAACGAAACAAACCTTCAAAACATATTTTTTTGTCCCTTTTATTATTTTTACATTTAAATACTTATATCATTGAATATTTATGTTCTTTTAATAATTAGTCAAATAAAAATTGTACCTTAACTAAAAATGAATGCCTTTAATTTTCTAGTCATATCATTCAGGTTCGGTGCGATTTTCTCTTAAGTTTTTTTTATAAAATATTAGGCCAAAGGTCACCAAATGTACACAATGAAAAAAGGACATTCTGTGAAATAAAAGAATTATATTGTAATGATAGATTTTAGAAATTTTATGAAGCGGTGCATGGTAGGTGTATGATAAAAATTTAAATTAAATTAAATATAAGAAAGTATTAAATTTTTTTTTTTTTAAATAGAATTTGGACTATTTATATTACTGATAGTTGTTAAAATAATATGTGTCTAATAAGGATGTAATTTAAACTGTAAAAACTGAATTAAAATTAGTTTCCAGGATCTTGAAAATGGCTCCTGAAGCTCTGAATAAATAATACAGGATGTAAAAACTGTATACATTTGGTGACCTTTGGCCTAATATTTTATAAAAAAGAATGCCTTTACTGAGAAATCAAGATGTATTTTTTATTTTAATATTGTAATAGTATGCTAAATATTAATGTCAAGTTTGCTAAATGAACCCAAAGCCAAATGTTATCTCCATTAGGTTAAACCTCTAATACTTTCATTTTTATTTACACCTTATATTTTTAAATTGTTAAATATCAATTCATTTATATTTATCATGTTAGCTTATTGCTGACTTATTCATTTAATTTATGTTTTGAAATTGACTACATTTTTAATGTATTTTGTTATGTGAATGGATTCCAACAATTTCCTGATTTTTGCCTCATTTAAAATTTCAACTATAAATTATATTGTTTGTCCAGCGTACAAATTATTGGGGTTATTAGGATTTGATTTGAGCTGTCTCATTTGTTGTAGTTTTAGTACAACAGTACTGTTTTGAATATATTCTTGTTATCAATTATTTTAAAGTAATCTGTAATCTACAATTTAATTTTTTTAGAGGATACTAGAACTTACACATGACAATTTTGTTCAAAACAACATAGATTAACCTACATGAAAGACAACGATCTTCAATCTCCCTCTAACAGAGAATGCAAATATAAGAATTTATTCCAAAAGATTAATTTAAAATGGTGATATATGATCATTAATGAAACTGACTATGTTGAGATGAAGATATTTGATTAATCAGCTAATTTTATTGCTGGGCTTTATTTATACTTCAAATAATAATAATAATTTCTCAGAAATGAGTCATGTGATTGGCTAAATAAAATAAATAACTAATAACTTAATTATTTATCCCATCAAACATTGGAATTATTTTTCATTAGTATTCATACATAAAACCACTGTTTTGCTTATATAGAAATAATAAAGTTTGATTAGATTAAAATAAAATTACAAATGAACGAAGAGTGTAAAAGGTAAATTCAAATTATAGCAATTTATTATTTTGACATATTTCATTCATGAATTTATGATTGTATACTTTAGCTTAAGCAACAAGCTTCACAAATCCTTTAACTATCTGATATAACACTAACCAATAACTTTGAATGTATTAATTGATACAATCTTGAACTATGGAGTACAATATATACTATAATCATAATGTAACTATTTTACAAATTAAAATAATAAGGCACCTTATCCGAACGTTATTTCTTAAAGGCAAAAGGTAACATTAATTGAGTAAAGAATGCATTGTTTTAAACAATTCTGAAATTATATATTTTAATTTTATGTATATATTTGTCACAATACCAAGTTAGAAAACGTTTGTTTACAAAATAATCGATTACTTTGTTACAGAAATTGATTACATATCATAAAATCTTTACATGGCATTCGACATTATTTTAATAACTTATGTAGTTACAATAATTTAATAAGAAGGGAAGTAAATACCATAATAGTATCTGAAAAACAAAATTCACTGAACAATAATCACTAGTAACAAATGATTAAATAATTAGCCCAACATTTTAATTGTAACAGATTATGAGACACAAATTAATATATTAATAAATAAGTATTTAACGTTAATTATGTTGGGATAACAAAGTATTCAAATTAAACATCATGAAAATAATGCCAGAGGTTAATACAGTGAGGCAATTTAGGCAGCAAAAGGAATATAAATATATTAATATTATGTATTAATTTGAATGAATAGCTCATTTATTTAATATTTAGCAAATATCTAAAATGACTATCATATTCACTATGATAAAGTTTTAAATTATCAAGCATTCATTAACAAATATGATAAATCCAGTTATTAAGAACTGATCCTTGCATTGCCAACAAACCAAAACTAATTAAATAACATGATGTTAGTTTAATGCAAAAAGTCATTAAATGGATTTTTGATATAGGTTAACTTTCAAAAATGTTTTCATGAATTTCGACTTCAATACTTATAGAAATAATGTAGGGGCATGAAAATGAAACAAACCCTTTTATGCATCAAATATAGTTACAATAAGCGCACAATTTTCTGACTTCAAAAAGAAAATTTTTTTCAAAGTTCTTAATAAGTTAAGATTATGAAATATAACTTAATGAATTTTTAAACCGATGGTATAAAAAATTAAATTCAAATAAATAAAAAGGATTTGTTTACTGGGCCTTTATTCAAATTATACAATATAAGTTATTAAGAGAGGCATTATAAATCAAATATATAAGTACTTAAATTAATAAGACTAGAAATAAAATCATAAATATCACAGCACATTTTATTTATAAATTGAATATAAATTAAATTAATAAATAATATTATTTGTAAACCAAATTCTAACAATGGTAACAAAGAATGATAACATTGTCAATTCTATAATATAGAATTCTCAATTACAAAAATAATTGGATAGCTAAAATCAGATTAAATTTATATTATCCGTAATTAAAGTTATATTGAATAAATACTATAAAAAAAAAGGAGGATTAAAGATATAATATGTAAATATACAGTTTTTAAATAGGAAACAAAATCTAAAGTAACAGAACTATTTCTTCTTTTTTTAATATCAATTCACTTTTATATAAGTAATTTTCCTTACATCTTCTTAAAAACTAACTTGACAAACTTATAAAGAATTTTAAATAAATAAATAAACACTATTTCAACAACTGAATAAATTTACTAAACTGCAGCTAATGATACGAGTGTCAGAAAGAGAAAATGAACCATTATTCCATTAATGAAAAAACAAAGACGTAACAATAATAAACTCTTCTTGTTCTCATAACAATTTATGAATTGTAAATTTATTTTAAGTTTAAAAGTTATCGAATATTCAAAGAAAACAAACCCATAGAATTGAAAATTTGGGAGAGAGGGAACAACATTAAGTCTATGGCCTGATGCTGTGTGAACTAAATCAAAATTATGCTAACCACTAGAATAATTTGTTAATATTCCTTGGATTTAGTTTTTGGAATAGCAAAAAGAGCTTTGGCAAAAATCGATATTTATTTATTCTCATATTTAAATTATTACTATTTATATAATTATAAACTATACATAATGCCCAATCAAGTTTGTTAATTTAACATTCGACATTAGTCATCGTAGTTTCAAAGAATTATCCATTAAAATTAAACATCAAAATCAAGTATATATTCATTCAAAGGAGCTTAATCTTAACCAGAAACCATCTTGATGCTGATTTGATGTTTAAATTACAATTGGTAACTGTTCAACAATCTAAATAACTAGGGCAAAAATTCTGAACATAAAGTATAATAACACGAAACATAAGCACTTAACAACATTTAGCTTACTGAATGATTCATAGCAAAATTTAAAAATTCTATGCAAACAAATAAAATTTTTTAAACTAGTATGATACTTTTAGACAAAATTAAAATAACAAAAGACACATAATTAACAATATGCTTCGAGTTCAAACCACCTTACAAATGTATTAATTTTGAGCTGGTAAATTAAATACATGACTGTCTTATAGGATTTAGAAAAATAGACAATCATGTACATGAATGACTAGCAGTAGGTTTCAACCATTGTTTATGATGTTATAAATGATCTCAAAAAAACAACATAAAAGTATGTTTTTCTTTTATTTGTCTAAATGACTTTTCGCAAATCAAAATGCTTGGAACACATACATGTACAAACAAAGTTTCCAAATACTACATTGATTGCTGATATAATACAAATATTTTTCTCCTTTCGCCATCAAAATTGTTAATAACGAGTAGATCAATTCTCAATCAAACTTATTCCAAAATCGGAATAAAAAAAAAAAATCAGTTTGAAAATTTCCATTTAGAATCAACCAATAGTTTTGTTATATATAGATGATTCAAACATTTAACATAATTTTATTATTCAACTAAGTTAAAAGCAAGATAAAGGTTAAAACAAGAAATCATTCAACCCTAAAATAAAACGATTGTAGGGCAAATTTCAAAAACTCCACTTTCTATAGTAAATATGATAGCTAAATATGGTCTAGATGATTTATAATCAGTCATAACGATCCTAAAATGACCAAGATGAATTACAGCCTGATAGCAATGGTTTGAGAACCTTTAATGGTATCAAAAATAAAAAATAAATACAACACAGTAAGCTGTGTTTTGCAGAACCAAAGAATGCTCTATTTTTTAGGATCACAGATGCCAAATATAAAAATCTAGAGCACAAGCAAATTAAATAAATATTTTATAATTTCTCTCAACTACTAATTATAAACATATTGCCTTCCAGATTTTAATCTAGGTTTAGCTGTTCCAATGCGATCATTGCTGTAAGATAGGTACACCTTAGAAAGATCAGGAACACTTATCTGTAAAAAACATTATTTTAAACTTTAAATTTTCCCTACCTCAGGTAAATTCATTTAATATTTTTTAGGTGTTTTTTTTTTATAATATAGAATTTAATTAATATTTTTAGTAGGTGATAGCGCAGATAGCTTGAAGGGAGTAACTCAGCCTCATGTTGTGGAGGAACCGTTGTTTCTGCCGTGCAACTACATTATCATTATTTGAATTTTTTTTTTCTAGCAATATGCACCTCAGTAAATAAGGTCTATTGTATGCTCTAATTAGTGTTGCTCTTCAGTAATGCTCTCAATCAGAGCATTATTCCAGCAGTCGGTACAAACTGAAGTACGCTTGTCTGATTGACAAGTTCAAACAATCTGTCATTCCTAAATAAATGGAATCATTTGCAATTTAGATTGCATTATTTAATACTTTTGAAAGATTAACTTTCTCACAGCATCACAATATTTTATTTTTATCGTTTTTAAATTATTCAAAGGAGGACAAAACTAACAATGATGCTGAAGTCATTCCTGACCGATCGGTGAGAATTTGGAGTAACAGTATAGAACTACGGTGAATTAATGACTGTGATTCTTAATCATATTTCAGGATGTGATTATTTCAATTTGGTCCATGGATTGTATATTCTAGAAAAGAAAACATAACTCCTAGATGGGTATTAATCCTGATTAGTCATAATTCCTTCATCTTTACTGATTGATCCTTTACAGGAAATGAGGTTTCATAACTTACTCCAATGGGAAAGACATTGCTAAATAGTTTTTGAAGGGAAGGATAGCTTGCAACAGAATCATAGATTACCCTCTTCATGCTATCTTTGCATCTGCTTACCAAGAGATCTTCATGCTTATTGTGCCAAAAGGAAAGAATAGAAAATATATAAATATTAGAAATGTAAGCAAAGGCTTATAGAGAAATAGATAGACTAGATTTAAAGGTATAACTGCATAAATATTGAAGGAATAAACCTGGCAAAGAGAATAATTGAGATGTGTAATTTCAGTTATTTATTAATAAGTTGGGCCAGTGCTTATGCTATTAATAAGATTTTTAGAAGAACTCCCCGAGTTCTTTCAGACAAATATTGAAAGATTTATCATTTTTACATTGCACTTTACAGAAGCTTCAATAAAAAACATAATTTTATATAAATATAATTTTTTTTTTTTAAACCACCACCAGAACCCTATACTGTTTAGGGAGTGTACTGTTTCGTGGTCAACGGTTGTGCAAGGAGATGAATTGACCAAGATCAAATCAAGCTCAACCGCCAGATTTCCCTCTTAATTAATTATTTTTAATTAATGGTACTCACTTTATAGATGCTGGGTGTACATCTATAAGAGGGTCTTCCAACCCCAGGGTCAATCCACAGCTGATGAAACAGAATAAATAATTTTACTGCCATAAGCCGGGATTCGAACCTGGGATCTTCAGCATTGGAACTTAGCACCCTACCACTGAGCTACCACATTACCGAATATATCAAAAGCATTGCTTTCTAACTTATTAAAAACATGGCTATTCTCTTGAGTGAAATGCGATGACTTATTGCAATAAATCCACGATAAACTTGTAGACAAGTAGGAGATTGCAATTTCTTTTTTTCGTTTTTGATTTAACAAGTGTTTGAATTCATGAACCAGAATGAAATTCATCTTCCATCAAGAATTAATATGATGTTTGATTGAACAGCCAGGCATTAAAAATAAACTAAAATTAATCAATAGTGAATATAGATATTCAATATTAATCAACTATCTTTTTAGTGTTCAAAGCAATACTAAATACTAGCAAATGCAAAAATACAACAATTAAAATAGGTATAATTGTTTAATTAAAACAATTCTCAAATGAATTGATCCATTATTTATCTTCATCTTTCTTGATTCTTTTCATTATTCATGTGCAATACGTCAAATAGTCATCACGGGAAATAAATTTCATAAAAATGTTATCAATTTCTCTAATAACAGTGATATTTTTTGACTCCATCTTAGCTAATTTTTTTATAAATAACAAATCCACATAAAAACAGAATGTTTTCGTAATATCTAAGTCCTACAAAAAATATTTTTGAATCATATAGATTAAATATTTTCATTGGCATTTCAAAAATTTTAATTTGAAATGATGACGACTTACTTCAGTATTTGCAACAAATGAATCCACCACATCTGATTTCTTCATATTATTGCCAGTATAAGCAACACATTTCAACTCCCATTCGCCAATATCTTCATTCCAATGGGCATGCTTTTCTATCAGCTCCTAAAAATAATATTTAAAAATTCATTTGAAAACAAATAGAGAGAATACCTAATATGTATGTATACCATCCTCACAAGCAAATTTATACATTATTAGTGAATAACACTTTGCTTAAAATAAAAATTGATCTCAAAATGAAAAAAATTATAAATTGAAAACGAAAGAAATTATTATATTTATTATTGAATATAATACAAATGTGTTACCCGATAACTGTCAGGAATGAATAGTTTCTCAATAGTTTCCTGAAGAGCTAACTCTTTAGTAAGTTGCCTAACATTGTCAAGGAGTCCCTCCATTTCTCTTTGGTTCTCCTGCCTCAAATCCTTAAGTTCATCTTTGGCTGCTACTAACAATGCTGATACTTTCTTTATTTTTTTTGTGAGGCCAATAGCCTCCTCTTGCAAAGATGAATATTTTTCTTCTATATCGATTCTCTCAGCCTAAAGAAATTATGAATTATAATAATATATTAATAAAGCAATAATTTATATTGCGAATGAAATGAAAGATATATAAAACTAAAAAATATATATTTTTAGTCAACAAATAGCATATAAAGGAATTTGATTCCTTAAATTATTTAGTCATTTAAACGAATATGTCATTGATTTAACCTGAAAAACACAACTAATATAGGATATCACCATAAAGACACATTTTTTATCTTCAATATAAATTTTAAAATACTTAGATTTAAAAATAATGGTTTATTCAAACAGGGAACACATAAAAAATAGATCAATGTTTCAACATATGATATGTCCCAGATTGTCAATGTCTGATGGCAGATAAATTATTTATTCTGCTTTTTTAAAACAGTTCTGTCATATTCTTTTAAAATAATAATTTCTCAGGCCTAAAACCTGTACCACTACAACCCACGGAGGTTCTGGGATACAGCACTTTCTAAAGAAATGCTGTTTCTTGGTCAGTGGTAGTGAGTGCATGGTGATTTGACCAAGATATATCCTACTCAACTGCGAGGTTTTTTTGACCCGCTCGAAGAACATAAGCTTGGGAGGCAGATTTAGGGATCGCATGTGCCATTGGCCAGTTATCTGAGAAGGAGTTAAAGATTCGCAAGATAAAAATGGTAATTTAATCATAATAAAACCCAGAAGGCAGTCATACTTCTCTTTCCGCTAATTGATTTCGTAGTTCATTTTCAAGCCTGACTCTTTCTTCTAATTCTTTTGCAGAAGCTTCCAGCAGATGTTCCTGGACTTCAGCTTTTTCAAGTAGATTTTCACCCCCAACTAAGATTTTTTTTTCCAAACTTTCAAGTTTTTCCTTCAAGGCAAGTGTCTCATATCTGAAATATATATAAAAGACCGATATTACAGCAGTTAATGATTTATTTCAGCTTAGAAAAAAATAATAAAATAGATTGCTATTTGTTTTTCAAAGAATATTTATTGTAGCTAAAGGTATAATTATTAATTTAATGAATCCTCGGGAAATTTTGAAAAAGAATCTGGTATAAAAAAGTACCCATGCAACCAATTGTCAGCCAGGTTTATAATTATTATCAATAGTTTAACATTTGATGGTTACGTTATTAGTAATAGTCTGAATAATATTATAATAGTCTGAAAATAAGGCCTAAGAATAAACTAAATTTAGTTTAAATAGAAAATGAAAAAGTTCAGCCTCTATGACAGATGTAAGACTAGAATAAAGCAATAATAGTAATATGAAAAGAAAGTAGAGTCAACTTAATTTAAGAGATAATTCAAACAATAAATTTATAAATGCTAACTATTAATAATCCATTGAATCAATAAAAAAATCTATGAATAAATATCATACTTTGTTTTTTCTAATTCTAAGTCCTTTATCTCTTTCAATTTGTAGGTTTCACAATCAACAGATGGCTCTATATTCCTCTCATCACCCTTCTCAATCCCCATATCGATTACTTTATCTATTTCTTTATTTTCAATTTCCTTGTCTTTATTATTTATTTCCTCCTCATCTTCTGTAGTTTCTTCTTCTGGTTCTGAAACTGAAATGAAATATGGTGCTAATATCTGAAAGTAAACTGTTATAAGTACTTTTTATTTTTTCGTTTGAGATGTTAATAATCACTGATATTATATACAGCTAACATCAAATTAAGATAATGTGCTAAATCATAAAAAAAATTCCTTTCAGCAAATTTGTGTATAGTGCACTGATAGCTCAGCTATGGTGTGAGGATTGTGAGAAAAGTTCATATTTAAGTGAAAACAAAATATTATTTTACATTGAATATGATAATTCAATCATTTCCCCTTACAAATACCTCCCCCCCCCCCTCTCCCTGAGACACAATACACTTGTCCTATCTCTCTTTCCACTGCTGAAAGATTCTCTTGGAAGTCCTCTGTTTTAATGTTCTTTAGTTGCCTCCTCTTTTCGGATTTGATGGTCTTCACATCAAGTCCAAAATGGAAATCTGAAGGACCAAAATTTTAAAAAGACGAACTTCAAATTAACACAAATTTCAATTTAGTCTCATTTACAGCAACCAGACATGCTTGTTCTCCACTAAGCTCTTTACCTATTGTGATATGTCAAATCATGCACTTACTCAACATTCTATCGATCAGGAATCGACATTTCCCAACTAAGATTAGAATTTTTGTTTGCTAATTTCTTCATGGAATTGTCCAATTAAGGTGTGTGTACTAGATTTCTATATGCAATAATACTTTATTTTTTAAAGATAGAATCACAACATTTCAGCTTTAAAAGGTTTGAATTGATTTTTACTTTCACTTGCCTATATATGAAATATATAAGGAAAAGTATTGCGATCGTAAAGATTCTCGAATCTGAGTTTTAAACAGAAATACATATTTTGAGGTTCCCTGAGTCCAAATAACCATGCCTCGCAAAGTGGTCTGTAGGTATATATATCTGTGACCAGCCTAGCTCAAAAATGAAAAGGCGTACAAAACTGAAATAGCGTATTATATTTAAGTTTGTATATGCCTGGGATGTTACAACTTTTTTTGTCAAAATTGGATAACCAGAAATGTCACTTTATATCATCGATTTTCCACATTTTCACAATTATCTCGAAAACAGCTCTAACAATACTGCTTAAATTCATTATATCAGTGTAAAATCAAGCATGTATTAATGTAATGGTTGGTCTTTTTATCACTAGGTCTTAGGTCTTATTATTGATGTTCTCTAATAGGGCTTAAATTCCTAATTTTCAAAATTTCTTCCTCTAAAAGTACCTTCAATTTTTTTTTTTTTTTTAAATAATTCACCATTCCACATTGTAATCTGCTGTAAAAAATGGCAAAATATATAAGAATTTGATAATTAACTAAATGAGAAATAAGGAAATAATCACAATAGGAAACTGAAGAAACCCAAACACGTATCCAAGCTTGGCCGAAATGTTTGAATAAGCTTTCATACACATGCTTTATAAAATACAAGCTCCAATAATATTATTATTACACATATATGTGCGGTTGTTATAAATCTAGCGCTTGTATCATTTAATATTTAATTGTAGATTACAGCAATTAAAATTATAAAAATTAAAATTTGTATGTATATCTACAATGCTTAAACAAATAATTATACCTACAATGAAATGTAAATAAATATAGTGGCCTTCTTTATCAGTGGCACTCTTGTACAAAAAATATTTTGTGGCACTTAATTATTTATTATAATCCAATAAAAAATTAAAATATACAGTCGTAAAAGAAAATGGTCAGTGAAAAAAAAAAAAAAAACATAATACAGCTTATTATTAGACAGTTTTGAAAAACATAAAGTAATTAATTTGTTTTAAATAATATCTTGTACTGTCTGTAATTTATGCTTTTAAGTCTCTCTTAAAATTCCTATTTCCACTAAAAAAGATGGTGGTAAGTAAAAGTTGTATGATGCGTGCACCGCATCATATTTTTTAACTAAGGTTCATAGTTCATTGTGGCTCTAGTTTTTTTCTACAGATATTAAGAAGAATGCTTGTTCCAAGTATATTGTGTCTCAGGAGAAGAATATTGAATTACCTTACAATAAATATTAATAGTTTTTATTTTTTACATGGATACAAACTTTCTGTCAAACCTCGAATAATAAACCAAACAAAAATCATTCATAAGGCTTATATGAACTATGACTAACATTACCTTTGAGAGTTTGTTCAGCAAGTTGCCTCTTAAGATCCTTTATCTGAGATTGAAAATGTCGAAGAAGAGCATCCTTTGGATTCTCGTTGATCCTGGCTCTGTTGCAGATACTCTTAGCCCTGCTGGCGTACCTCAAAGTACTAATGGTCTCTTCATAATTATAAGATGCAGGTCCAATGGTAGCACACTAAAAATGAAAACAAAATAGGAAAAAAATACAATATTAATTTTAAATAATAAAACGTCATAAATTTCACAGACTAGTATTGATATAACAAAAACCATTTTTTTTTTCTGATCTGATTTAGTTTTATAGAACTAAAGAAATCAAAATTATACTAATCAACAAAATATGTTTCTCGATATCCAGGTTTACAAATCACATTTTCGGGTCAATTAACAACAATATTATACTAATATATTGCATTAAAACTTTTTTAGTCCTAGAATGAAACATCTACAAAGAAACTTTTATACAATTCACAACTGTTTCAGAAAATTATTTAAATTAGTGCAAAATATAATGGTACTGAATAATAATTTTAAATATTCTTAATTGGAATTCATAGTTATTTTTCATAATGTGGAAGCTTTATAAATAAATAAATAAATGAAGGAATGTTTTTAAATAAAAATGTTTAACAAATCTGATAAATCTGTCAGAAGCCCATATTCACCTTTAGTTGGATCGATGTTTGTCAAAGAATGGAGCAACACATCACAATAAAAGTAAAAAATAATAGAAATGAACAGTGTAAACGTATTTCCATTTAGTCACTTCTGCTTGTGCAAAGAGGACAATCATGCATGATCACCTTCGAAAAATTTTACATCAAAAGAATGCTCTGTGATTAGCCGATTAACAATCGGACATACCAAATTGTCATATCTGGTTTTAGACCATCACTAACCAACTAGCCAAACATGGGTCAGTGTAAACCTTACCTTTCAACACCTATTTCACTATAATAAATATTGTAAAGAACGATTTAAACTAAAAATTGAACACATCATCCCATATAAAGAAACTGAAGAAATTACAGTTTAAATACATTAAACTACTGAAATTATCTGAGAAGGAATTGGTCAAGGGGTGCGGTCAAATAAATACTAAATTTTTAAAAAATAGTATTTTTAATTACGCCGACGTTTCGACCCACCTTGCAGGTCTTCATCAGGGCATGGCATGTGGCACTGCAGGAGGCTATAGACTGGCCAAATGAATAGATATAATGAAATTATCAAATTATATCTAAGAAGACCTAATTTCGTTAATGGTCACGGCAGTTGAAGCAAACTTAAAAAAACATAAATAAAAAAAGTCTAATAAAAAATTTTCAAATAAATAATTATTCAATAAATTTTAACATTACCATAACTGTTTTGGAATTTCCTCCCAGAGAATCTTGAAGGATGCGAGTTAACTTTGAGTTTCTGTAAGGAATGTGAGTACATTTGCCATCAACAAGTGCCGAGATAACATTGCCTAAAGTGGAAAGGGACAAATTTATCTTAGTAGCTTCTTTTAAACGATTACCAACTGCAGCAGTTTTGGACTGCCGTTCAGAGCCCTAAAACAAAAAAAAAAAATAAATAATTATAATAAAAAATGTTAACAGACATTTGTAAATATGTGTGTTTCATTAATTTCTTTTGATTTAAAAAAAAAATGAATAGGCATTATTCAATACAGATAGAGACAATCATCCGATATATACCTATATGTTTTCTTCAACATTAATGAATCAGAAGCAATCAACTTCCAGAATTTAAAACCAAGATATGTTTTCTTAATTAATGTTAACATATATTAAAAGTATATTTCATTAAATAAATACAAAACACTGCAAATTATTATACAATGATTTATATGTTCCAAACAGTTATATATCAAATAATAAATAATAAATCAGTTAAACTATTCTTCAAATGACAATTTCAAGTGGTTCCATAGATATAAGTTTTCGAGTTATCAAAAAACCAAACAAAGGATATCACATTTGGATCGGAATATAGAGAAATTGAGTACTTTTTGAGTTATTCATTAATGAAATTCTACATTCATCAATAGATATTTATACTCCATTGTATTCAATTGCTTCCTTTGACAAATTCTTTCTTGTTCAGTTCTAGCCCTTTTGGAATTCCTTTCCTATCTCTATTTGTTAAGCTTCTTCTCTATCTTCCTTCAAGCATCAATTACTTCTTGACCTTCTATTATATCAATCCTTTAATCGAATTGATGGTAAAACTGATTACTTAACACACGATAAGTGACAGCTAGACTATAAGCAGTCATTTATATTCATTGTTCTTGTCTTTAGGAGATTTGATCCAAGAATAAAGATTATTTAAAAATTCCAAAGTTTGGCGAAACGAGAATTATCTGAATGATCTTTTCACTTAAGTTCTGATTATAAATCAATTTAATCCACGATTGAACAGTATGTAAAGACGATATTGTTTAAGTTAGGAGTCCCAATTGGGTATTGATAAAATCCTAGTAGAAACAGGTAAAATATGTTGATTGTAGTCTTATGATTTCAATTTTAATTATAACTATCTATTTATTTATTATCAGAATTGGGAAAGAAAAAGACTATTATTCTTCTATCTACCGTACATTGAAGGAAGTTAGTCGACTGTCCTACATATCATAGGTGATAAATAGTCAAGAGGCAGTCATTTTTAAGGTTTTTTTTATTAGTGTCTGACCAATAAATATATTATAATTATAAATATAAATATATCATAATATTATAAATATTATATGTTATAATATAAAAAAAAAACTTTAAAAATGGCTGTGTCCTAACTACTTATCATCTATCAACTGTACATGTATAAAAATTAAACAAACGAATATGCAATATCAACTGTAATAATTAGATATTAACTGATTTATACTACAGTGAATCCTTTCCAAACAGACACCTCTCTATACAGACAATTTGTAAATGTTTGGACATATTTCGCTCAGGTTGTGGGCTAACTTTAGACATTTAGTTTCCTTCTCTATAGTCACTCCTTTAACAGATATGAACAGTCAATTTTTGCCACAAAGATACAAAAAAAACTTACCCTCTCTTGAAGAAAATTCAGAAATTATTGAAAAATGAAAAACATATTAAATTTTAATGGTTTAACCTCACATCACCATTATCAAAATGAATGGATTCTTAAGTATGAAATAGAAACATTCTTTTGAATGATATCATTTTCCCATGAAGTGTTTATATATTATCCTCCTCATCTCTTTGTGTTTTGATAGAAACCACTTGATTTGATGGTTTTTAACACATCAACTGCTATAATATTTTTAAGGATTTCGGTCTAAAAAGCTAATTTAATTTGGTCATATAGTAAATATTGTTGAAAAATATTATTTTAATATACTGTAATCATCGAAAAGCATTTAGAATTTCATTACAGCAGCAAAAATTTGGCACATGAATAAACGAGCAACTCGATAACCTGTAGTTGGTATTCTAGGCAAGAATACTAAATTGGAGTTATCTCGTATTAATGCATAGGTGCTAAATATGTGCAGACAAACAAATTAAATTATACAAATATTATGCATATAAAAATAACATTATTATATTTTTATTTTCATAATATAGGAACTTGCTTTCAAAAGGGCATATATTGATAAAATAAATTAAGAATTTTTTATTATGTTTTCAGTTTCATCTTGAAGAATTGAATCGAACCCTTTAATTATTTCTCATAAAACAAGATCTAAAAAAATTCTTTTTAATAAGCGCTTATACAACCATTCTCACTGGACATCTTTTTGCAACAGACAAATCCGTTGCAGATAGATTTTACTATCAATAATTTTGATATGATCAAATATTCAAAAGTTTGTTTTTTTGCATTAATCCTGGCCAGCTTTAATATACAATGAACTTAGTCTAAATTTCTTAGACTTAGGAATCAATAAGTTATTTTTACCAATTGTGACCTGAAGAAACGTCGGAAACATAAAAGCTTTTCAAATAAATGAGTGTAAAGTTTATGAAATGCCATTTCAGGACCACCGATTTGCTGTATGAAAAAGAAAAACTGTTATAAAAAAACTGTCTACTGTTTGACTAATTAATTTTTTAAAACTTAAAACATATCCAAAAGTTGCAATGCATAGTATAAATTATTTCTTATTAAATTAAAAGGAAATACTATCAAGTTTTAAAATCATTACATTAGGTGAGGACAAAACTGGATTTAATCAAAAATGTTCAGCTAATGTACAATTAATCTCAAAACAACATTTTTCAAAACAAAACAGCTTTACTTATTGTAACAAATCATTTTAAAAAAAAATTAACATCTTCCAAGATAAAAATAAATTTCTTTCAGTAAAATACAACATTTTTAACTATAATTTCCTCCGAATCGAAAGTAGCCCTTTGAAAATCAAATCTTACCTTTTCCAATTAACACATAACTCATACCCTTTCTATTTTAATTTAGTTCAAAAACTCAAGATGTTTTGTTTTTTAGATCAAATTTTGAATGCACACATATAACGATGTTTACAACTCCAAATTTCTTTTTTATCTGACTTCCTTCATAATTTGTTGCAGATCAGATTTTTGATTTGTTAATCACAAATTATTCTAGCATTTTCAAACCATTTCTATCTCTACATATAAAAGGAAGACTCAATTCATTCACTGGCTTGCTGATCGCTATATCTCAAAAAATTACTACCCATAAAGCTCAAATTTTTATATATGTAAAATAAGGCTGAGTTTGGAAAAATTTGCATGATACTTAGTTTTTTAAAAATTCTTGAAAATCGAAAATATAAACATTTTTCCTCGAATAACTTGAAAAGAAAAAGTTTTCTGATAAAAAAAATATTCTTTGAAATTCCTTGAAATAATTGTTTCCTCAAAAACTTTACTAGCCTGAGAAATTATAGGTTCTTATTTGAAAGTAAAGAATTTATCTAAAAAATTAAAGAAATGTCAGCTAAATCTAACCAGTATTAGAAAGGACATAGTGTATTTTAATTAAATGGAAGTTTTATATTTATTTACATATTTTTTCTAATAACCCGCTTCTAGCTCAATGTAAAATAAAAGAAAAATGCAATTTACTCACTTATTGATTACTTTATTTCAAAAATGAGAATGCCTATGAAGCTGGTATTATAACAAATGGTTCTCCTTTTACTGTATGTTCCTTATGTTGGAAAATCATAATATTATTTGTGAAATTAAGAAAAAAAATTGAAACAGAGGAAAACCTTGTAGTGAAAACCAAATTTTTTCAACTATGGTTTTAATGTGCGTGCGTGTGAAAATGGATTTTTCAACAAAATATTTGATTGAAACAGAGTATAGAATAATCTAGCAAAGAAATTACTATACTGAAACAGATAACTAAGCAGAACAAGCCTACAAGCCTTATAAGTAAATATATATATATATATATATATATATATATATATATATATATATATATATATATATATATATATATATATATATATATATAGGGTAAAATCACCAATTATTGACACTTTAAGGAAAATTTTCTAGTAATTTACCAATAACTTTTTTGTTAATTAAAATATCCTTATGATTTAAAGTTTTTCATATTAGTCCAAGTCTGTTCTACAGATTTCACTTATATATTGGCCAAAATACTACAAAGTTTTTAATTTTTTGTGCCCCCAATAAATGACAAATTTTGTACCAATTATTGACATGCAAAAACCAATTATCAACAGAAAAAAGAACTAATTATTGACACCATCACACGAGTTTATTTTGAACAAAATATTTTTTATTTATAGGTACAAAATTATCACACATTAGTATATGAACACTTCAAAACTTATTACCCGCTCATACCTAGATATCACAAAAGAGTATGAGAAAGATAATTACATACTATAGTAGGTAAATATACTTTGGTACACTTCAATCAATATTTAGAGAAAAATGAAATATAACTCTTTAATTTTTTCTTTCATTTACCTGTTTATGTAATATATAGTAAGGAAAAGTATTGTGATTGTGAAAATTTTCGAATCTGAGTTTTCAACGGAAATACACGTTTTGATGTATCCTGAGTTGAAATAACTAAGTCCCAAAGAAAGGTCTGTGTGTGTGTGTGTGTGTATGTGTCTATATTAGTTCAAACGAAAATGTAAAAATGAAAAGTCGTAGGAAGCTCAAAATACATATTTAAGTTAGGTATATGCCTGAGATGTTACAGCCAATTTTTCTTTAAAATCAGATAACCAGAAGTGCCACTTTATAAAATATTAAAAGATTTTCACATTTTTACAATTTTCTCAAAAACGGCTCAAACGATTTTGATTAAACTCGGTTTACCAATGTATAATTTTATAATAGCCCAAAATTGCCAGAAAATAATTATAAACAAGTAGAGTGGTAAGTGAAAATTGGTTGTTGCGAGCACCAGATTGTTTTATTTCCACTGAAGGCTTTAGCAATTTGGTAATAATGTCATACTCTTCAACTAGTATCTCATCCTCATCAAGCTGGAAAATATTCTTTAGTCTATTGTATAGAGAAGAGGGATAGAAGACACCTTTTCTTCTGAAACCCTGAAAACTCAACAAGCCATTATTGCCTTTTCCTTTTGGTATCTATTGTGGCTATGATAAAGTTGCCCTTTCTTATTGTCCGATCTGGATTCTGCCGAAATTTCAACTTCTTCCATGTATTTCTATTCATGACAATCTTCAATGTTCTTCTGTTCGAAAATTGCAACAGCAACACCATTTTTCACAACAGAGAGCTGCCAACATTTGGCTCTTTTCACATTTTTTTTTCTTTCTGAAATCGAGTTCTTCTTTGTCCAGCAATTGTTTTCTTCTAATAGGAAATTGTTTGAACCTTTTGAAATGCCAACCTGTAAAATAAAAATAACCTTGGTCCTCCGAATTACATATTCATTCATCTGCTAACCTACCCACCAAATTGACAATGGTTGGTGCCTTCAATTTTGTAAATCTATATATATATATAAATGAATGTATGTCTGTCTGTTTGGCCTTAGTGCATTACTAAACCATTCAACCGATTGCCATGAAACTTTGGGAAGTTGTTCCGTACACTCCTGGGAAGGTTTCTGGCATAGTACTTCTGTCTTACAATAATTTTATATGTAAAAAAAATAAAAATGTAAATTTTTTTTCTGTTCAAAGCCGCGAAAAATGTGTCGCTATAAACTGTAGTGCCAAAAAGGCTTTACCGATTTTAATGAAACTTGGAGAAAGTCTTCCCCTTGAAACCCTTTTAATTTATGTGTATAACATACTTTCCCAAAAACAAGCTGAAAAATGTTACGATGAATTCAATATTATAATATATTATTTGATGATGACTAAAAAAGTACACAATTTTTGACTGATAATACCCACATTTATTTGAAAGATTCCTGATTTGCCGACAAAATAAAAAAGATGTCATCGAAATAGATAAGCATTATCTCCGAAATAAAACTATTTCTAGCGGCCGTAGGAGTAAAGTGGGTTAAATTATTTTTTTAAGGAAAAACAAAGTTCAGATTTGTATTTCGCACCTCGATAAACCCTCAATTACCAATTTTCACTGGAATCGAAAAATAATTATTTTTTGTCTCAAATTTTTGTCAAGGGTGGGACCTTCAATTTTTTCACAATTTTTGACTGATAATACCCATATTTATATGAAAGATTTCTGAATTGCTGACAAAATAAAAAAAAAATCATCGAAATCGGACGGTTCATTGCAGAGTTATTGAGTTTTAAACATTTACTGCTTTCTCTTCAGAAAAGGCCGTTTCCTTTTGCTTCCTCACTACCGAACGTCGGCAAGCATTTTTTTTTTTTATTGATTAAAAGAAAATTTCATAATTACTACAGTAATTGAAATTATCATTTGAAGAAGTTATATAATTCTTCTTATGTTCTTAAGTTCAACTCAGACTGTTTCTGATGATTATGAATGACAGCGTATTCACTCAGATGATTATGAATGTTCAATTTGAATCATGAGAAAAAAATCAATTAGAATTAGTTTCAATTGAACCCATTTTACTGACAAATTTGTTTCCCAACTTTTTAAAAATGACAGATGTCCTTTGCTACTTATCTACTCATATGTGCTTTCTATTTTCTTTCTTTTTCATTTTGCCAGGCTAAGCCACAGCAGCACGTGGTCTGGTAAAGCTAGTTATGTAATAAATGAGAGGTGTCAATAATTGGATATTCAAGCTGTCTATAACTGGTGCGGTCCAATCTAATTATTGACATCTCTCCGCAAACCTGATATTGACAGCTCTGTTGGATACTTTTCTTATTGTTAAAAAATAAAAGCATCATTCTGTGGCAAATGAAAAAATAAACTGTAATGGCATTTTTACAAAAAACTTGTAATTTTTAAGATCCAATTATTGAGATCTCTAACATCTATTGTTTTTATCGAAATTCACATTTGAAAATTATATCACATGATCAGGAAGTGGTAACAAAATGTGTCTAAAAAATCTAAGCTCATAAAAATTATAGGACAAGCTAAAATAGATAGAATTTTGCCTACACCTTCTCAGCAAAATCCGTAACATTTGGACTATTGATATGAAGTGATCATAAATATGTGTTTCTCGCCTAATGCATCACCACCCAATGTAGACTTCATTTTGGCAGGAATTGGTGGCTGATTAATGTACCTTTGAAATAGTGCCAAGTTTGAAACCCTACATGAACCTAAACGCTTATTTTATCAATTTTAAGTTACAAGTATCAATAATTGGTAATGTGTCAATAATAGGTGCCTTTACCCTATTGTAATAAAAAAAAATACATAAATAACCCTATCCATCCTAAGAGAACGTATTTATATATCTACTTATACACTTTGTTTGCTTTTATGTATAGGGAAATTTATTTAAACGAAAATTTAAACTTGGTGTAGTAGTCAGGTGCCATTCGGCACTGAACGAAACTCAAAACTCTTACAATTGTTGACATGCAAAGGTACATGGGAAGAAATCTACTATCGAGGAGACGTTAAGTGGAGAGGAAGGCCCTCGACTAATACACAAATCTTAGCCATTCGTAGATATCAATTTCTCTAATAATCTACTATGGTGTTTAAGTAGATTTGCAAGCGTATACCCTTAGGATGGATAGGTTTATTTCAGTAGTATTTTTTTTTTTTTTTAATCACAATATTTTTATTTTATTTTATCCTTTTTAGTTTTCAAGTATTGGCAATTTATATTCAACATATATGAACATGACCTAACACATAATATGAAATTTGAGAATATTTAAAATATAATAAATTTTTGTTCAGTATATTGAGCTTGAATCATTTATAAACAATTATGGTATTACACTGAGTAATTAGAATCAATCAACTTAAAATTGGTGAAGCCATTAGCTCAATAAAGTGTTACATACCTTTCAACAGAGCTAACACATAACCGAGGTAGTGAAGACAGAGCGTGCTAGATCATTGCCCATTTTAGCATTTTTGTGTCTAGCAACACTGGTTAGAATGCTGGGCTGGATAAAATATATTTTGTGGCGGACCCACAGAAAGAATCTCGACCCTCCTTTAGATTTGGTTGTACCTCTAGAGCAAATCCTTCCCCCTCTGTATGCCAGAAATGAGAGACGGAATAATCCAATAAAAAAAATTTAAACACATAACCTTCCTAGTGGCTTTGCCGTAGTCATGTAATGAAAGGAAGATAGGCTACAAAATTGTACTTTACTAATATTTTTTTAAATCTTTAGGCAGCTTGAATTATCAGAGAAAAATTATATGAGACTTCATTGATAATTTTTAAAAAGTCATTATTCATTAAGAACTCACCGCTAAGTCAACAAGATGCAAACGGCCCATTTTTACTCTTTGTTGATTATCATCACCAGTTACACTTGTTTCAACAGTGATAGTAAAAATGGCATGAGAGCGAGAACTCTCAATATTCATAGCAGTTGCACCCACGACCCCTGAAATATGAAGTAAAATAAATTAATAAAGTAGAACATTATGTAATGTAGATATCAGCATTATACAGAAATAAAGAATATTTCTTATAGTAGAAACTGAAGAAACCTAACTGTTTTTATTTCCAATGGTCATTATTCTGTCCATGTCATCAGCATTATTGACTACATAAGTAGTAAGATTCTTTATAAATACACCAACATCTGGCCTTTCTTTCACTTCTAGTTTTACAGATGATGAAGTATTTAATAAATCCCTCACTTCTTCATTATATATTTCATAGTAAGAAACTCTGACCAGAAACCTAAAAAAATCACAATCGTAAAAAATCTATTCAATCTTTAACTCAGACAATATCAGTTTAATATAACCTTTTTGGAGTATTATTTACACCATTTGAATAGAACATGTCTTCGATTGCCTGTTTTATGTCAACATATGTTCGAACATGAGAAAACCCCAGATTCATCCCAATTTTTCACAATATAGTAGCAGCCTACCATCTTGGGCTATTAACTATCATTCATTCATGTCAAATCATTAATAATCAATGTGAAATCACATCCTAAATGGCCAATACATTGCTTCATCTTAAGATACACCGAAAAATCACAAAATATATGAGATATAAACTAATTTTATATCTCAAAATAAACAATTCTACATAATTTTTAATTAAAATACACATTCTCATAGTTTTAATCAACTGTTAATACACTTTGTTGAACTAAATTATTTTATTTAATACAACTGTTTTGGGTAATTAATAAAATGATAAAACATCTAAAAATAAAATCACAAATTCAATTGAATTTTCTTTTTATTCAAAATTTGAATTTTTAACTGTTATAAATTCTGTTAAAATACTAAAAAATACATTTAATCCATTATGTTAGTGTAATATAATGAAATGGATCATAGATAACTAAATCTAGAACACCAATATGTAAAAGCACTGATGAATTATGTAAACATTAAAAATTAAATAAAAAGTAATAGATATTGGATATGAAAAAATTATGGATGAAAGGGTTATTTATTTACAAGGTAAGAAATAAAAAAAATAATAAAACTCATTTTTATTCATCTTAGGATTTATTACTATCCAAACTTCACTTTTTGCAAGAAGTCAAATTTATTCTAAATTGTATCAAAATATTAAACTGATTATAAATGAAGTAATAATACTATTTATGAAACTTTTTAAAAATTTAGGATAGTTGATAATGGTAATGATTTTATTAAGACTAAAAATGCTACCAACCATTTTCCACACTTATGTGTAATGATTTTAGTCAGCTGAATACTGAACCTAAACCAGATCGTACATAGGTCATATTTACCCCCATTCTCTCAATTCCTCGACATTCACGGAAGTGACAGGGTACATCATATTAAACTCAGTTAAATTACAAAACCAAGAGATCTACAATTGATTTTCTCAATATCTACTTCATAAAATTTATTAATTATTTTAATTTTTTATTTATTTGACCGCACCCTCGACTAACTCCTTCTCATAAAATATTTATATATATGTATATAAATTTAAATTATATTTTATAGTAGTGAAAATAAAAGAAAAGGGATATGGTGGAAACAGTCTTGATCAGGAACTTTCACCATATCAGAATGGTACGCTAGCCTGGCGACAGACTATGAGAATGATTAAAGAAGACGGCATGAAGTACTGTACAAATTCGTTCAGCCTCAATGTGAGGTATTTAATTACAAAATTAATGTTTTGTCTTTCACCAATTAAAACTGGGGACCCGTGGGGTCTGAATGTCTTAAAGGGAACACCACTCACCTTATAATGCTAATGATAAAAACAAAATTATATCATCTCCACCCGGCCTTATATCCCTTTCAACTTCGCCGTAATGCATTTGATGATGTGGTTGACGGCAGTTGTCGTGGAGAGCAATGATGCCCCAGATGTGGGTAAAACAAACTTCAGTCACACCAGAGCCTTAGAAATGGTCCTGATGAGGACGTAAGCAAGACTATACTACAAGCATTAAACTGGGTGCCCACTTAATCCTTAATATAGACTTCGTTTAACCCGTAATATTTATTTATAATACTAGATGTACATAGACATATACATATTGACACATATACATAATTTTTAATGTTGGCCACGACAATACTATTTCATCGGTATAGTAGCATTCGCCATTCCTGGTTGCCAACCGTTTATGCTTGACCTGCTCACCATAAAGGTTGAATTCTTGTAATCTTCTGAATAGAAAATATCACCCTCATGATAGAAACAATATGAATAAATATTATTTTAAGAATTGATGCTGTATTGTGGTCTCTGGTTTTGGATTTACAACTCATTATTAGTACAATCATTTCAGTAATAAATATCATATCGCCAGTTTACTATAAAAAGTCAAGTAACCTTTCATAAAATTAAATCACTAAGTACTTTGCTGGATTTTCCTTCTGTAAAATCAAAGGTTGGAAAGGAGCAGCATAGAAAGGATGACATACCTAGACTGGCGAGCAGTGCCAATGAAATATTCTCCTCCATATTCCACTATAGCAGTGCTCAACTGCTTGCAGTAGGTGCGGGGTGGGCAGTACCAGCTAAATAGTACCTTTAAACTTCCAATCAACCAGTGTTATGTAACAATCATTCCAATTTAAAGTGATTATAATCACTTTATTTGCAATATTTTCTATCCAAAGCTTTAGTTAGACTAATCCAACCATAAACCAAAATACTACAGTAACCCCCAGAACTCAAGCCATGTATATAATCTTTTTTTGGTCTTAAACTTAATTTTATTAATTTATTCGCTTTTCAACATTGAACAATTTCTGAGATTTTCTTACTTTGTTTCTTCACTAGATTTAGCAATTTGACCAAAAAGATGAGCAAAAGAATTTGGTATAACACCACGCAGTTCAGGTTCAGTGTTGACTCCTTCCATTGTAAAAGTCTTCCCAGTTCCTGTTTGCCCATAGGCAAATATCGTTCCATTATAGCCTTGAAGAACTTTTTCAACAATCGGTCGAGCAGTCTCATTATAAACATCCATCTGCAATAAAAGTTTAATGATTTATTCAGATCAATAATGAATTATGAGACAGAGACAAGACTGATAAAATATTTTTCTTATATTAACCTTACAAAACATAACTGTCAAGTGTTAAGATTAGTAAACTTTGGTTTATGAATATTTTAAATGAAGTGATGGAAAGTTTAGCAAATAAGAAAAGGCTAATTAAAATCTAACAAAAATTAAATGAAAAACATAGATAACAACCTGTTTGGAATCAATGTCAAATACAATATCGTAGGTAAATATCTTTGGTAAATCATCTCGCCCTCCATTAGGATTTTTGACACTAATACTGCCATTTATCCTATTCACAGTAACAACAGATCTATAACCAGATTCAATTTCTTTTTTATTCATAGGCCGTACACGCACCACCACTCTAACATTTTCAATCTCCTCATCAGGAATAAAACTCTAGAAAAAAAATTATTATTTAATTAAAATAAATTATACACTTAAATAATAATAATAATATTAATTATAAATTATACACTTAAAAACACCTAAGGATGTATATTTAACTAACCTTCAGCAGCTGCTCTGGTTCCTGAAATCAATAAAACCTTATTCAGTCTTCCAATTTGCCAATAAAATAACAAAAATTCTTATTAAGGTAAACATAAAATAAAATGATGATAAAAGGTCATTGACTAACTCAGAACAAGATACTAGCTTATTTCAAAACAGTTATATTTAACATTACAGGATGTACCAAAATCCACAAAATCTATTTACATTTGTCAGGGGTATTCATTTCAAGTAATAATGGCCAGTTCTCAATACACCATCATTGGAAAAAAAAAAATCACAAAAAGATATGTCGCTTAAAAGGAGTTGCTATTTACTACATAAAAAAGTAAAGAAATGGAGATAACAAAGAAATGAAAGTGTTGAGAACAGAAGCAACCATATTATAATCATGGTACACCGGAATATGCACATCATTCACATGTATGTTTACTACAAACTATTCCATCGCTTCCGCCTTGTCATAACCATCGCCACATACGCGTAGACTCCTGGTTTCCTCTCTCATCTTCCCCCACTTTGACTACAGCTGTGTGGTGTATGATGGACTCTCGGTGGAGCTCCGTGATAGACTGAAAAGACTTATGAACAGCTGCATAAGATTTGTAATTGGTGCCCCGAGATACTTTCAAGTGTCTCACCACAACACTGAGTTAAAGTGGCTCTTCCCCTCCATTCGAAAACAATATTTCCTAGTTTATCAATTAAATCATCGTCCTTCTTACGCCTACAAACTTCTCCAATTCAAGTTCTCAGTCCACTCCCTTTTCACAAGATCCCGACCTTCCGACCTTTACATTCCTTCTCACAGATCTGCCTCGTTCCAAAACTCGTTTATTGCTCGCTCTGTTAATTTCTGGAATTCCCTTCCTATCAAAATTCGGCATTCTCCTTCCCTATCTACATTTAAAACCCTCCTATTCCAATTTATATCCCAAAAACAGTCAAACACACCCCGCTAACCTTCTTTGTAAATTTATATATTATTCAAAATGATTCATATTATGACATAGTTACATATAATACATCATTTAAATACTTACTATCAGATTCGTCTTCTTTTCCTTTTTTTTTTTTTTTTTTTTATGCATAAACAGAGGTTATTGCTAATAATGTAATGTATTTTTATTTATTTATTTAAAAGTGTATACTTATATTTTACTGTACATAGTTTTAAGTGTCTTGGCATGGTTTCAAGTGTTTGCGTATAGATTTTTTTTATTCTGTACATAGTATGTTTAATTAATATTTTCTTTACTTTTTTTTTTCTTTATTTTTACTTTTTATGTTTGTTTTTACTTAGGCCAGATATAATATTTTAATTTTGTACTTTTTTGTTATTCTAAAGGGACTTTTAAGGTATTCTATTCTATTTTATGTGCCCAAAAACAAGAAAAAAGTTTGTTTCAGCTTTAAAATGGTAAAAGAAAAATTAACAAACAAAAATGTGTACTTTTAGAAAAACAATAAAATTGTGATATGTTTTTTTAACTTCAACGTAAAATGTATAGTCAGACTTTAGATATATTTACTTATAGATAAGAAATTTTTACTGTTTATCATTATGTATGCTTATATTGTGGTTTCAATGTCCCCTAGGGACAATTAATTTTATGACAGTTCTGAAAAATGAATCTAAGCATTCCTAAAATAGAAAAAAATAGCGACCATCCAGATTGCTATTTGTTCTATAAAATAAGCCTATAACATCTATGTTACAGAGTATGTTAAGCAGAAAAAGTGTCAGTACACATTGATTAAAATTCATAAACAAGGTATATAAATCATGAAAAATGATAAAAGTTGAGAGCAATTTTTTAAAGGTTTACAGAGCACTTATTGCAAGTAAGTGTGGAAGCCAACGCATAGATTTTGTCATCTGGTTACAAATAAAATGGTACTAATTTATAGGTATCACCTATGGTTGATAGTTGGGTTTAAATCACATTAATTATACTATAGATGGAATCCCAAAAATAGCTGAGTGATGACAACAATGGGTATTACTGTACAAGTGTCACTCCACTTCCATTACTGGAACAAGATCTTATCACACCATAGGCAGAATGTGTGTTCGAAAGTAGACAGAAGTCTAATGGAACCTTCAGGTAATGGTATGACCTGCACTGAAAAGAATAAATTAGGAGTTTGTCTATTTCATTAGAGCGAGTTGGATTTAAAAGCAACAAATTATTTACAGCTAATTAACTGAATTTATTAATTGCAACTTATACTTAAGTCAATAACTTATAAAATAAACTTAAATTAATACCATCTTGCCCCACTGGAGAAGGTGGAGTGACATTTGGACAGTGGGCCCCAACTATGTCCACAGATGGGTTCAATATTCTCAACCAGATGATAAATGAATACCCAACGGTTTCTTTTCAGTTTAGGTCAGGGTCTTGTCAAACAGGTGTCACAGGAAATATGGATAGATTTTTGTTATATCATCAAACAACTTCATAATTTATTTTTAAGGAAGGTCTGTTACATGAGGGATTCTTTGTACAGTATGATTGATCTTATACAAACCATCAATCAGACTCATCATACAGATAAAACTGTATCATTATCTTAATGAAGTATAATGAGACAGTTTTAAAATTTACTGAGACTGGAACATGAAATATGAAATATAAGAAAACATTCTAAAACAAATTCGGGAACTGAAAAACTTACTTTAAGGTCTGTTTCAGTCACCTAAAACATAGAGAAAAATAACAGTAGATAAGCAAGAAAATCTTAATAAGTTTTAAAATAACAATATGGAGACCAAATAAACAAGATACCTCCATTTAATAAGCTGTAATTAATACGCGAAGATACACAAATAGATGTAATGAAAGACAGATCAGTAGCAGTTTATAAATATTTTAAAATCAATAAATACACTTAGGTAAACTAAATATCTCCAAAAACATTAATTATACAAATTATTTTTTAAAAATTAAAGAAATTTGAAAAATTAATCGTAGAACATTAAAATAAAGCAGATAATATAACCAGTTGAACAAAAATCCATAAGATTTTTTTTCTTTAAATTAACATCACCCTAGAGACAGCCAAGAATATTTACAAACAATTTCCCAATGTGGAAGGTTTCCTTAAATATGTCAAAGAGGTAAGAAAATATAAAATTCAATCCATCTAAGAACTGATTTATATTTAAAAATATTTATTTTTACCTTTGTTGCTATAATTGGTGTAAGAAAAATATGAAGTAAGGGTTTGTTGAAAACCATTATTATTATTTTAAAGATGGGTAAATAATCGACTAATGAATTAGACGAAATTCCTGACAATTTTATTTTATCCATTAATATTATTATTATAGGTTGTCTTTTAGTTCATTTCGGATCATTTGCCACATCATAGTACTGAAGCTCTGAAGTTGGTATATCTAGCTCGCCCGAACACTGACTTTTTTAAAAAACAAAAGGAATTGGTTTACCTTATTTTCTATTATTTTTCCTCAATGTGTTGTCAATTTTTCCATTCCAGAACTGAAAATTTCAGTGGTTTGTGGAGAAATGAAATCACAAGAAAATGCTTTTTTGAGGTGAGAATCATTTCCAAAAATTTTACTTTTAAGGAAGTTGTCCAACTTTCTTAACAGATGAACATCTGTTGGACATAAATATGTCTGGCGAATAAAGTGGAAGTAGAAAGACTTCATAACACAGCTTGATTTGTTTCTCCACTCTCTGCTGTGAAATATGGGATCAATAAGGATTCTTGAAATTTTATGCATTTTTACAGTGTTCTAAAAACTCTCTTGTTTCTCCACTCTCTGCTGTGAAATATGGGATCAATAAGGATTCTTGAAATTTTATGCATTTTTACAGTGTTCTAAAAACTCTCTTGTTTCTCCACTCTCTGCTGTGAAATATGGGATCAATAAGGATTATTGAAATCTTTAGATAACACAGCTTGATTTGTTTCTCCACTCTCTGCTGTGAAATATGGGATCAATAAGGATTCTTGAAATTTTATGCATTTTTACAGTGTTCTAAAAACTCTCTTGTTTCTCCACTCTCTGCTGTGAAATATGGGATCAATAAGGATTCTTGAAATTTTATGCATTTTTACAGTGTTCTAAAAACTCTCTTGTTTCTCCACTCTCTGCTGTGAAATATGGGATCAATAAGGATTATTGAAATCTTTAGATAACACAGCTTGATTTGTTTCTCCACTCTCTGCTGTGAAATATGGGATCAATAAGGATTCTTGAAATTTTATGCATTTTTACAGTGTTCTAAAAAATCTCTTGTTTCTCCACTCTCTGCTGTGAAATATGGGATCAATAAGGATTATTGAAATCTTTAGATAATCAATTTTAGGCATTTTACAATGTTCTAAAAACGATCCTAACAATTTTGATATAACTCCTAATATCAATGTAAAATGAGTGGTCTTTAATGCCAGGCAAACTTTATTTACATTAAAAAACTCTAACACCGACTTAAATTCGGAAATTTCTTTCTCTAAACTAGCTTTAATTTTAAATAATTTACCATTTCACATGAGAGAATTACAATTTATTGTAATGCTGCTCAACTGTGTTGAGTTGCTAGATGACGCAGTATAAATAATCTATCAGGTTGACAATATCAAACAATTCAGCTTGATATAATTTGTATATAAAAATTTCATTTGTTGGCCTTTTTTTCTCATCCTCTTTCTTCTCAATTCTATCATCCGGATCCATAAAGTAATACCCAGATTTAATAGAGGTGATGGTACGTAGTTTATATTTATAAACTAGATAAATATAAACTATGAATGAAATTAATAATTAACTACAGGATAAATAAGAGTTAGTCATAAGCCCTTCTTAAACGATTAATGTTATCGAATCAATGATATCGAAGCAATATTCTTGAATGTGGTATTCATATTACAAATGTCAATATAATTGTCATAATATATCCCTCAGACGGTAAATTTATTCGATAGTGACTCAATAATATTGATCGTGCATGGTTTCCCACTTTTTTTTGTCCTCCCTTTCCTCGCCTATAAGGCTAAACTGGATTTTCCCGGGAGAGGGTTGAGGGCGGGTGATTAATGCCAGAGTTAAAAGCCTCCTCTCCTCTCCAGGCACCGGGAAGTTAACTCGTGATTATTTTATCAAATTATTTTTGATCTGTGTTGTCCATAACGACGTTGCTGTGCACACGCATTAGCTCGCTCAGCCACCGTGCTCCAAGTGAAGGTTCCCTATAGATAGAATCTGTTTAATCGGAATCAGGCAAGATTCGCTCGACTTTTTCTGACCCACCATTATTTAAACTACGTTAACCCAGAGCCAGTGCCGGTCTTAGACATTTATTGTTAGTTTGATTTATATTATTTTGAACCCCGCCACAATTTTTAGTTTAGTAATGAAGTTTATTAAATTAATATATTGTACCTTATGTAATTTTCATTTTCACTTTCTTATGTTTGAAAAACTTATAAAGAGTATAAATCTACTCAAGGTAGAGTGGTGAGTAAAAGTTGTGTGATGCGCCGATACGAAATTGTAATAATTAGAAAAATAATTTTCTGAAAGTAGATTAAGCTTTTAGTATATGCTCTCCCATTACTTGAGGATGAATGAATCTTACTTGAATTCTTTACAAACTTTACCTGGTGATCACGTGGGGGGGGGGAGAAGATTTGAACTGAATTGTTTTCGTTAGATGATCTCATCGTTTTGTTGGTTATTTTATTTCATTATTGACTATTCAGATGGATAAACATTATGGGCTTATTTAATGTTATACTGAGGTGTATATATAGGTTGGAAAGGATTTGGTCATTCGTAATTTCCAAGTTGTGTAACCCTTCATCACAAAAAATTGAAGTACTTCATCTAAGTGACAATTTTTTAGTTATTAATAAAGGCCATGATATAGTTATTAATAGCAATGACCCTCATGTTGCTGTAAGTTTAATCTGTTATGAAAGATTAATGGAATGTATTATAGATTAATTTGTTACTTGGATAACAATAAGGTTCTATTTTCTCATGATAATGTTCTTTGTTTATTTATATACTGATTTTGTGTGGTACTAATCTTTTTTCTTGTCCAATATTTGTTTTATGATAATTTTAGTTTACCTTATTTTCTTATGAATGAACTTCGTGTTCATTTCATTTCTTAAAAACTCAGCTGTGAATAGACCAATGATAGCTTTTTTGTGTGTGTTGTATTTTTTCTATAATGTTACTAACTCCATCTTTCTCTTTTTATTTTACTGAAAATTATTCTTTCTCAATCAATTCTTTTCTAATAATTGATTTTTTGTATTCGTTAATGCAAATCAAAGTTTTATTTGTTAAATTCTTATCATCTTTTCCCCATTGTTAACCCCTGGACCTCTTGGTTTTTAATAAACTGTCTGGTGTGTTTAATATCATCACTTTATTGCATAAGGTACCATTATTGTTGTTTCTAAACTTTTCGATTGGTATTCATGAATTTCAAAAATATTTAACGTTGCAAAAATTCAAGTACACCAAAATAACACCAATCCTTTTATACATTGAAAAAAGTTTCACTGTGAGAAAATTAATAAATTACTACGTAATTTAATTTTTTTTTTAATGTTACTTATTGGATTTAGGCATTAAACGAATTACATAATATAAGCATGTTTTTGGTATTGTCTATTTGTATATCATCAAATGTTAGCATTTCTTTCTTCAATCTGTGTTATAAAGAACTTATTGTAAGGATTCAAAGAAAAACGTTGCTAAACAGATGTATTACAAAAAAAAAAAGAAGTTTATGTAAAAACGTAATTTTGTTTTCTATTTATTTAAGGAAAAACTAAATTGATTAACAATAGTTGTATTGGATCTATTTTCAAGTTAATAGTTTCGTAGCAAAGCCATTTTAATTAGTCTTTTGACCATTGCTGGTTTGTGTTAATTTGAATGGAGGGTTCTGTACCACTATACTAATAAATAGAATCCCAAGAATGGCTAAGTATTCGAAAGTAGCCTGAGGTGACTGCACTGTTTGATTAGGCCTCGATGTCAACTGAAAAGGGCTCGTTGAAGATTTGTTTTCCTCTATAAAACAAGTATAGGGAGCTAAAGTTGAAAGCAGTAGTGTAATTAAAGCTAATTACTTAAGCTCGTCCCCGATTCCAACTGAAAAGTATTAGTAGAGATCTTGCCAATGTTGTAAATCGCGACCTAAATAAAACAGGCTGTTATTGGAATTAAATTTATACCAGTAACAAAAGATCTTATTCCACTGTACAAGGTGGAGTGACATTTGTATTGTGTTATCGACAGTTCTATTCGTATAACTTTTTTTGTAAATGGAATTCTATTTTTGAATATCACAATAAAATTTAATGTATAGCTGTGTAAATGTTCTCAAGGTAGTAATTTTTGTTTTTGGGAGGCTTAAGTGTCGCCATGGCTTCCTCAATGAGCTTTCTTCATCATGTTTGATTTGTATCGATTCTCTTTTCTTTTTTTTTTCTGAAGTATTTTTTCATAAAAATAACATGTTATAAGTAACTAGTTGGTTTTTTTTGTGTGTGTGTGTGTGTGTGCGTCTGTGTGAAACTTTATTATATAGTGATTTAAAAACTACAAAAAAATACTTTATCTTCAAGCTATTCTAATATTTTTGGTTGTACATACATAGCATCCTATAAATTATGTTAAAAAATTGGTTGTTATTCATAATTCATCAAGTTGCTCTAAATACGAGAGCTTTAAATAAATGTTTGAATAAAATAGTTATTCTGATACTTAGATATTACTTTTTTAAATGAGTATTACATCAGTCAGTTAGAAATCAGCCACTTCAGTATTTAAAAAATTGTTTCTTGTTTTTTTTAAGTCAAAATCTTAGCCCAATCATCTGGGTCATCTTCAGATTCAAGCATAAACATCAGCTTTAAATATCAAAATATTTGTTTTATGTTATGTTAGACTAATCGTCTCTTGTAATTCTTCTTTAATATTTTTTTCTGGGATTCATAATATCTCCTATTGTTCAAACTTGAATTCAAGATCTTCTTTCTAAAAATACCTCTTCTTTCCTGTTAACAAGTAGATGTTCCATTTTTTGTCATCTTGTTTTTGTGTTTAGTACTGTTTTATCAACATAATTTATGAATTTAGTCATTATCTATCATATTGAATTATGGATTTAATGGAATACTGCTGTTGTTGATGTGTTCTGTGTCCACCTCTTTATTATTGGTTTTATTCTTCTAAGCTATTTTATTGTTCAAGATATATCTTAAATTGTTTGTGGAATAGTTTACTAGGTGACTGTTAGAATTTAACAAAAACATGTGTAAAATATTTAATGCATTGTTCTATAATACCATAGAATATTAATATATATAATCAGTATTTCTTATAAATGTTTGGTTGCTTTCTACATTTTAAATAGTCTTATGTTTTTCTATAATGGCACTTTAATTTTTTTTATTAACCTCATTTTTTTTTTAGGAATCACTGCATTCTATTTTAAGTAAACTTTATCCAACATTAGTTAATCCTAAGCTCCGGCATTACTTTCATTTTGTCCATCGTCTTGACTTTGTGACCAGTGGAGTATTATGCCTGGCTTTAAATAAAAAAGCAGCATCTGCTGCAGCACAGTGCTTTGAAAAAAGATTAACAAAGAAGTATTATATGGCTTTGGTACGTGGTCATGTTTCTGAAGAGGTTATAGACATTAAAGCAGCCATAGGTAAAATATTAACCAATGATCACGAACATAGATTGAATATCATTCTAACAAGGGGTTTGGTATGCTAGGAGAATGTTCCAGTGAAAAAAATGGAAATCACAAAATGTGTGTGGAAGATGATACTGAATGTTTGGCACCACGGACAGCTTTTACTCGCCTGATAGTTTTAGAAAGGGGTATATTTGCAGCTTACCCTGCATCAAAAGTTATGTTGCGGCCAGTAACTGGAAGGAGGCATCAATTGAGAGTGCATTGTCACTATCTAGGTCACACCATTGTTGGTGACTATACTTATAGTTCTGGCAAAGATGTGAATCCTGATAGGACATTTCTTCATGCATTAAGGTTACTTTATTTTACCATTTATTAGAACAAATAAAAGCAACGTAAACTATTAATGATAAAAATTGTTTTGTTTTTATTTTTAATGCAATTTTGTTAGTTTTCATGTTTAGAAACACAAAATTTATAAGTTTTCATCTTAAATAGATAATACATCAAAATAACATCTGACAAAATCGTATAGTCTCTCATATGATAAAGTACCAGACTGGCATAAATATACTCATAAACTATGTAGATTTTATATTTAGATATTTTAAATATATTTAGATATTTTTGTTAGATAAGACACTTCTGATCAGGGAGAATCCAGGTGACCTTTAACATTTACCACAGAATATAACTGTCTTAAAATGTAACAAGAGATAATTTGAATTAAAAATAAAATCAACATAACTGTTATCTATCTGATCTCTACTAATTAGGATCTTGTTGGAGGTTTAATTATATCTGGAAGAAATGGACATTTACATCTGTTATATAAACAACAGAATAAGCTTTAATAACTCCCACATTAAAAACTGACACTATTCTTAGCAGATTAATAGGCAATACTAATCACTACTTCAAGTTTCTTCAACAAAACAGTACTAACACTTGCTACTGTGACAAACAGACGATACAAAATTTTAAACAGTACTTGAAAATCATTGGAAAAATCTGATATTCAGTGTACTTCAACTAGGTAAGTTGTAGCATTTTTCTGAAACTGAATATTCCTGAATGTTCCTCAAATATCATAGATTTTTTATATGAACTTGTAACCTATTCTATTTGAAAAAAGAACTTATCCATATATGCATATTTATTTTAAGTAAATAACAGTTCTATTTTTAAAGACCTCTTATTGGTTTCAGGCTCATACTACCTAACGCTGTTGAACCCTTGGATATTATGACTTCAGACCCGTTTCAAAATATCAATAAAACTAATAGCTGGGTGCCAGTTGAACGAATTAATAATCTCCAAGCTGCTTTTACTAAAATAGAACACAACATTCCTTAAAATTGTTTTTACTCTGGGAAAGTGAAAAATTTCAATGATGTGGGGAACCTAATTTAATGAATGATATTGAGGTAAAGATTACAGATTTTAATAAAATAGTTTATTCACTTTCAAACTTAGGTAGCTTTCTGGTGATAAATTCATTCATGAATTAAGTTGATAAACATTGTTGATGTCGTAAAAAAAATATTAGAAATCTCTGTTTTCCAGTTCATTTCTCAATTTTGATGAGCTGGGGTAGTTAAATTAAACTGTGATAAAATTTAAATTGTTGATTGTGTTTTACTATGAAATACTTATTGCTAAGTTTTGCTGCAGTGAGTACAATGTACTTGTTTTTTTATATTTTTACTACAAATGTTATCATATTATATACTATTTTAGCTGAATATTTTTCTCTTGAAAAGCTGTTTATATAAAAAAAAACATAATTAAAAAGTGTTTACTTTTGTGCATCCTTACTCCTTATCTTGATCTGCAGAGAAGTTGGTATAATGTCTGTTTGTTTTATAGTTGATATTAAATTAGGTTAAAATTACTTGCTAATTTTTATTAAGTTTTCCCAAGTTGAGTTTTTTTAAATTTTAAAATTATTATTTTATATGTAGCATTCTCAGTATTTTTTTTTTTAATAGTCTTTTTGTAATAGAATACCCTTTCTTGTTTTTGTTTCCTTTTCTTACCTACCTCACCTTTACGGCTATATAGGATATTTCCCAGGCCAGGAATTAATTACAGAGTTCAATGTCACCTTGATCTAGTAATCATAAGGATATTGGGCAACACCTGAGTTAAAACACAGCTCACTTAAACTGGCCCACACCCAGTCGTGTCCATCACCCCCAAGGCCGATGGTGCATGCCCCCTCCTCTCCCCAAAAAATATTGCTCCCCTCACTGTTATATAATTAATATGTATCTATATGATATGTAATATCAATGTTAGTTTAAAAGATAGTAGATATAATATTGGTTTGTTTCTCGAGCCTATTAAAGGCACAATACATTTGGCAATTACAATCAACAAGTAACATCAGTAATACTTAAAGGAGGCAACGGCTCGCCCCTGCCCTCCTCTGCATATGCCCATGCCAGGAATTCATTATTTTTTTTTAAATATTTCTTTCCTTTTAAGTAAGAATTTAAACTGAAATATCTGCGAGAGCATTGTCAAAATGTGGCTCATTTTTTTAAAAATAGGTGGGGTAATAAATTTGAGGATGGAGAAATTTTTAGAATGTTGAAATGACCTGTCACTGATAATAATATTTCATGAGTTTTTTATTTGTTGCTACTTTATTTTGAATTTGTTTCCGTGTCCCGAAAGAAGAAGCATTAGTTGTATTTATTATATACACACAATAAAAGTACCGCATACCAATATTTCAAACAAGCGGCGCCCTTTGTGTTAATGCTGAAATTGGAAATACGGAAGACAGTGCTCCGCTTGTGTTGAGTATTTAGGATAAAGTCATATCTGCTGCTCTTCCAAGTATGCGGTGCCCTTCGATATTTTTTTATATACTCGCAAACCTCAGTGTTCCTTTTTTTTCTTTATTTCCTGGTTTAAATGTTCCTTTTTTTTTTTTACATTTAAATGTCTCAATATATGTGTTTCTTGATTGAATAATTACAATGTTGTTAAGAATAATGTAAAAAAATCTCATAAATTTACTGTACCAATGCATGTGAAAGACAGGTAGAGAAGAGGAGAGAATGAGTGAGCGGGAATCATTTACAGACAGACAGAGATGACACATCCACATGAAATGTTCCTTATTCCTTCTAGACAACGCTGGCAATATCCTGCTAAATGGGAATATGGCAGGGCCAATTGTAAATATTTTTTTAACATTGCAATATATTGCAACAACATTAATGGCTACTCTTACAGCCACACATTGTTGTAAATTTTGGTCTATATAAACATTACTTAAGATCAAGACGGAAGAGAATTTCAGAGAGAGAGAGAGAGAGTGAGAGGGTGAGGGTGGTGGATAGATAGACCAAATACTTCTCGGAGGTGTTGGATGTTTTTCTGGAGGAAGTTGGTAAGTATGATGAAGGGTGTTATATTTGGAAGACTTAACCACTGATTGTTGAACCTCACGAAATATTGAGTTGACTATTATGGTGATAAAGATGTGCTAGTTGAAGAATCTACCTGTTCAAGAGATATTCGTGGTATATTCACAGAGACAGACCAATGAGCAAAAATGCTTTTTGGATTCTGATGTAATGATCTATTGAAAACTGAACATTACAATACTTTCTTACTCTAGCTAGTAGCAATAGGAAAGTAATGAAAGAAGAGTATGAATTTAATATGTTTTATCTTTGCTATTACTAGCAAGATTTCAATCATTTTTTTATACTTGGATGTAGGTCTGTTGGATTGTCATTTTATATTAAAAAATCAGGACTTAAATACATAATGACAATGTCAGGTGTTGTTTCGAAAATAAAATAAAATAATAGAACAGATTCTTTACAAACGTAAATATATTTAAAGTTTCAATAACTATTTACTATCTAAATAATTTCATTTACTCAAGATGTATATTATTTTTAAAAAACAATTTTTTGAAATAGTCATTTGTGTTTTATATTATTATAATACTACAGATTTTATTTACAAAATTTATATATAAAAAAGATGTTACAACAAATGTCTATTAATATATTTACAGAAATACTAATGGATTTAATACAATAGAAAAAGCATGTGACAATTATAAAAATCTTATTTGTATGAAACCAGGTATCTGGTTTTCACTTAGTAATAGTAATAGTTGAGAATTAACTCACATTAATTGGAGTCAGGCCATGTTTTTACTATCTTAATGGGCTTTATTTATATATATTACATTTTATACATAAACACACATGAGTGTCAAAAATTAATTGGAAAATCTTAATGGCACTGAAGTTCCATTCTCTTCAATGCAGAAAATCCCTTTTCTACCTCAAAGCAGTTAAGTAGATCTTGGTCCACAAGAACCAACTCCCTAGTGAAGTTTAAATTTATGCCTCCCCAAACCATCAGTGAGCCTCCTCTAAACGCAACCCTTGTAAAAACATTACAAGGAGTGTACCTCTCTCCCCACTCTTTTGTATCCATCTGGAGACCTTAGGTTGATTAGGATTAGGATGGAGAACTTACGATGATTAACTCGTCAGTGAATAATACAAAGCTTCAGTGTGTGTAGGTGTTCCATGGGCAAATCTCAAGCGCTGAACTCTGTGCTTCTTGGAAAGCAGATGTCCAATTGCTGGAGAATGGGACATAAATCCATAGTCATTAAGTCGTCTTCTCTCTGTTCACTGTGAGATTAGTATGCTCCTGGACCACTGTAGGAGACAAAGCAGGCTGTTTCCTGTAGAACGGTGATCTCAAAGAGCATAAATTAGTAACAATTTTTTGTCATGCTAAGAAGTTGACCTTGGACGATCTTGTTCCCTTCATCTGGTATGCCCTATTAATAAGTCTCATAATAACTAATATTCACTCTGAAAATCATAGATTGTGACCACTGGACCACTGTGCAATGTTCTTTTGAGAAAAACTTTTCAATTAAAGTAAGAACATGGATCTATTTCTCTTCGGTTCATTCCCTTCTGTTTGCCATCAAAATTTGCTAAATTACCTCTCAATCAAAAACTGTTGTCTATAAAATGGTTTAAGCATGTTAAAATCCATGTACGTATTCAAAACTAATGTAGAACTTAAGGCATAATCCGCAAAATGTGTTTAAGTTATCTTTTTTATTCCAAGGAGTGAATAATGTTTACAGTTAGAGGATACAATTGATAAAGAATTACACTAATTCCATTCTGGTACCAAAGAAATATTTATTGTTTTCATTACCAAAAAATTATACTGAAATATTTACACGACTCTTTAATTTTGTCCACCAGCGTATTTTTAACTAGCTTGAGGGAGGCTATTTTCTTCATGGTAGGGAGAGAGTGGAGGGGTAGGACATAAGTTTGAGGTAATAAAATGTGTAGAAGGTTCAACCACTGTAGTGTCTTCTGAAAGCCTTCCCAATTTAACCATAAAAATTATATCAGATATTAATTTTTATACTATCGTTTACTGTTTGTTTTCTAAATTCCTTAAGTCCCCTCCTACAGATATGCCAAAAGCTTCCCAGCTGTCGAATAATTTGGTTTCCGATGAATTTGCCAATTTCTCAGCAGCTGCTATAAGTTGCATTTCAGGGCTCATCTGTGGTCGCTTTAAAATCTTTGATGGTGGGGGTCCAAAGTCAAGAGCCTGAAACTAAGTAAAACAAAAATTATTTTCAATTCTGGAACACCTAAAATAGAAATACACAAATTATTAAATTATAAAATAAAATACAAGAATTTGTAAATAAATAAGAATATTGAAAGTATATAAAGAAAAAAATAACTGCAAATATAAATAAACAATTACATATAACTTTATGCTTACATAAATATGGTTGAGAAGGTGGAAAAATAATGGTTGTTTCAATGAAGTTAAAATATAGGGTTTTACAAATGGAGATGGGCAAGTTGTGGGGTTGGATTTGGTGTAGTAAGACAAAATAGCATGTTGTGAAAATTAAGAATTTTAGTGGACCAGCTATTTGATTCTAAAAGATCAAAAAAAGATGAAAATCTTAAATACATAAAACACAAATAAGAAATGGTAATGCCATAATTATTTATTTAACGAACATATCATTTCTTTAAAAGTACTAAGCTTCTATACTTTAGAGCTTTTTAAGAAATATGTTGTGACTTAATTTATTGTAAAGCTTCTAAGAATGTTCACCAGTTTATGGTTGGAGTAATTTAATATTTACTTGTAACTTTCTAACTGGTTTGATTTAGTATTGAAGTTTTAATTTTCAATAATTTTATGAGGCAAATTTAACCCTATAAAATAAAAATAATAAGTATAAAAAATAAGATGGAGATTATCCTTAAATGTGTCAAATATATGTTTGTAAAGTTTGGTTCAGTCGTTTCCGTCTTATTTACATTTGCCATTCCATCTCAGATTATTCATTGATTTTTTATTGAAATGATTACCTCGGTATAAATAAATACGGTATTAATATGTAAAGTAGTTACATACCTCTGTGTTTATTGTATTTTTGTCCGTAAATTTATCAAGCAGAAAAGCCATCCTATCATAAGCAAACCATGTGGATTTATAATCACTAGGGATGGGTTGATACAGGAATTTTTGTATCTAGATACAACTGATACGGGTATCTTTTTGTATCTGATACAAATTAATTATTATATCTCCATCATTTGGTTGTATACTAATTTGAAATGTGTTACATCAATTGGATTA